TCAAGATATACCATAATTCAATTAATTCTAATCCAGATAATCAGAATATCCTCCAATAATACAATCTTCTTCAGACTTGACAAAAAGCTTTTTACTCCAAGACTCATAATCATTCAATATTCCATCTCTGAAACATCTAATAATCACAGACCAAAACAATATCCAAATAATGAACTCCCTCTTAAATGTTCTTGAGAGCTTCCTTATTTAGTACCTTTAGGCCCATTAAAATCTTCAACACACTAGAGTAACAAATTGAGGTGATGAAGTTCCAACATCTAGTTGAACATCAGTACCTTTCTCAATGAACACATCATTGATCTTGATCTTGAAATTACTCATCACCAAAAGTACTTCTCTCAATATAGCAACTCAAACATGCCTTATTCTCATAAAAGGAATAGATAAGACCTATTGAAGACATCACCAATAGTATAATTTCCTTTTACAATAGAAAATAATACACATAAGTTTCTATCCATCGTGATACTCATCTTGTATTGAACAAATCAGATCCATAAAATAGGTTCTTTGAGCTTTTGTAATTGTATGATATTGTACCTTTTAGTGTAACATCTTGACTTCTTTCTTCGAACACCAAGTAAGAGAATAAACAATTAAATACGTGTTAGTTTCACAAATAGAAATAGTTCATAAATCCTCAGAGGGACTTCACACATCTCATTAGAGACATAACATTCTTCCTTTATGACACAACTGAATCAGTCGTTAAGTAAAACCAATTACCAAAAACTTAGAGAATTCATCCTAAATTCTTTAGTTATCTAATGTCCTTAAACTTTCTCTTTAACATCATCCACAAAGTAACATTTGATCAAAATGAGACTTAAACAAATCACCAGGAACACTTTTACTACTGTTAAGTGTCTGGAACAGTTAGTGTCAGAATACTAATCATCTTAGTTGAAGACCTAACAAAGGTATGAGAGAAAAGGCAATAATCACCTTCCCTGAGTATTAACTATTGCTTGGTTAAACAAAACGGAACTTGACCTTTGATAAAATAACCAAAAACTGTTAAAATCAACTTAATTCAGAAGATATTCTTCAGTGTAAGTAAATCCCTTTTAGCATGAGTAAGCAGAATGCCTAGCATAATGTTATGACATCCTTGACTTAGTTTACTTTTTGATAAAAACAACTTTTTGTCACTTTGAGTTTTCTCTTTGATAATTAGCTAAGAAGAAAACTTATCCTTCTTAAAATTCCAATCATCTTCCCTCTTTGAAGAAACTCATCCATCTGACCTGGATTATCATTACAAAACTCGATCAAGATATCAAGCTCGAGGATTAAATAAAGTCATTTCTCCTTGAAAAATCATAGATAGTTGATACTTCTTCATTCTCTTAAGACATAAGATCATAAATAAATCACCTTCTATTTCTTCACGGTTGAAAGCTCCCTTCATTCTAGATACAAATCATATAAACAAATTTCCAGCTCGTGATGAGATAAATCTTCAGTTCATAAATCTTCATGAGAAGTCCATCTTCCAGTCAAACCAGAATATGCATAGAAAACCTACACAGTTCTCCTTGAGATAAGCAGTGCATTTTGCTTCACAAAGATCCAAGATCTCCACATCCATATGAATGTTTTGACATTGATAGATCTTTACTCCAGTTTCAGCATACTTTTAGCATCACAGACACGCTGAAGTCAGTACATGTGTCTTTTACATTTAGTCTAGACATCCTGTCAAATCTCCTCAACCCCTGATTGAATCACTTCCCAAGGAACACAATAGCAAAAAAGAAACCTTTTACTAGAAACCATAACCTAAGCTCCTTCAAAGTTGAAAGCAAAAATAAATTGCTCTTGTCTTTCTTCAATAGCTTGTCACTTTTGTGTCAAACCTCTAGAGTAAAGACTTGAGAAACTTCTTCTTGATCATCCTCATATTTGAAATTTTTCCTCGAAAAACACTTAGATGTGCCTTTATGAGTGGACTTGAGAAATTTCCAAGTGTCGTTTTCCCCAATTCAAGCGGTGTACAGTCTAGAATAAAACACTTATCAATTCCATGATTATGGCATTGATAACTTCAAATACTCAAAGACCTAACTCATGATATTTTCTTCTGTCTTCCAAGCACCAGGATTCTTCTAACCTGTCAAATTCACAATTCTAGTGTCCATTGATAATCGGAATGGTATCACTTCAGCTTTCCATAAGACAGATAGTACCAGAAATATACCTCCCTGAAACTCACCCAATAGACGGGGGCGCCTGCTGATACCAATTGAAACTCTGGTACAGGCAACACATACAAACAAAATTGTCTTAACAGTAGATGATGTCGAGACATATGTTACAACGTCTGATAACAAACCAGATCAATTAAGCTGAATATGATTCAGAAAATAAAACTGCAAAAAGATAAATAACACAATGAGTTGTTAACTCAATTCCGTGCAAACTCACCTACTCTGGGATCTATCAAGCTAGGAAGGAAATCCACTATCAGTAGTACTAGTTCAAATTTAAACTCCTCGGTTTACAACTTCTCGCCTAATTCCAACCCAATGCAACTTCTACCTAGGTCCTCCCTAGATAAGAGAAATCGTCATCCCACTTCCAACATCACCTCAATGATATCTAACAGTCACAATCTCAGTAACTGCAACAAAAACAACCCAATTTAGAAGATCATACTTCCATTACAATAACTCAAACTCTTGCATAAAAGCTTCAAGTGAGAACAATAACTTGACAAATTGTCAAGTAACAATCTGCCTACCACATAGTATCATAAGATACATGAGTGACTTACAATATGCACGAGAGACTCTCAAAATCTAACACTTATGTTTTCCCTAATTTTACAATTATTTAAAACTTAAAATACATTAGGTTAGGATATTTATACATCTCTACAGTCCATGGGCTTCGATATTTTGATCAAGTTTCTTGATCTATAACTTGAGGGATGCACCAATTGTGTAAAAATCAGTATCTTCTATACAACTGGAGATGTAATCTTGTGCCAAAATAAATATCTTGACCGGCGAAAATTTATGATACACATCCAAAAAAAATATAACAGAATCAAATCAAATTTGTCAAGGTTTAAAATACAATAACGCCTTAACTGCTTCTCACCAGAACAGGATGTCATGACATCTTGTTCGGCATCTGGCCAAAACCATGTTTTAAGCAAAAGTTGTCAATCCCAAACCCATTGTACTAACAATATTGATTAATTTCCTCATCAAACGAACATGTTCTATACAATTTAACGCATATCTGATCTTTTTTACAAAGGTTCAGGATAGACGATTGTCGATCCATAATTGTTTCCACTAGCCATAATTAAATATTTTTTAAAACAATTTTTTAAATAAGAAAATTTTGTTTGCGATCTATTCACCCCATCTAATCGTAGTCTATCGTCTAACATGTGTGTCATATATATGTCACTTACAAATTTTTAAAAGTCATTTTTAATTTTTCATAGACTAGTACGAGTCTGCGAGTCGAGTTTACATGCCCTTTACGAGTCTGAGTAGACTCGCGAGTCTGACAATCTTGGTGTAAAGTAAGACATATTTTCATGAAAGGTGACATAGTTAGAAACAAAGTGCTTACAACGGAGAGAATGATAACATTTTTCACCACCTTCTGTTAGAAGGATAAATCACAAATACTCATCTAAGGGCATGTGAATCCAACTTACTCTGATTTTGCTTATGGACATGGACAAAAGCTACACAACTAAATACTTGAGATTCAAGACCCTACAACCAAAAGCAGAAGGAAAAAGTGAGATCATAAATTGAACATGACTAACATTAATATGAGATGACACTTTAGATAAACAACGATCAAAACTACTTTACCCCAATATATTTTTGAAAGAGACATTTGAAAGACAAGAGCTCAAACGACCTTGAAGTGGTTTTTTTTTTCTACACCACTTTTTTGTTATAGAGTATCTATCAACATATGTTAATTCATCAATGAAACCATATTTAATGGTAAAATTGTAAAAATTGTGATTGACAACTTTTTTACCATTAGCCGAACATATTCTTTTAACACCTTTTTCAAATGATGAAACCATATTTAATGGTAAAATTGTAAAAATTGTGATTGACAATTTTTTTACCATTAGCCGAACATATTCTTTTAACACCTTTTTCAAATTGTGTTTGTATTTCAATTGTGATACTTCTGATTTATTATTCTTTAAAAAGAATCAAGTTATGAGAAACAAACATATTGTGTTACTTTACATGTGGTTAAAATAGAAGTGCAGTCTATATGAATAAGAAAAATAAACCATACCCAAAATAGAAGTGCAGTCTATATGAATAAGAAAAATAAACCATACCCAAAATAGAAGTGCAGTCTATATGAATAAGAAAAATAAGCCATACCCAAAATATTAAAAAATAGGGGTTGATTCCCAATCATCAGAATGAATAAGATTACATGTGGTTAAAATAAAAGTCAATTCATCATATCCATTCATTTGTGTTGCTTTACATGTGGTTAAAATAGAAGTGCAGTCTATATGATTGTGTAAAATAGTGTATAAATTAAATTCCTATAAATAGTGTATAAATTAAAATAGTATATAATTTAAGTCCCAACAAAAAATTTAGAATCCAAAAGTGGTGGTGTGACAGATTTCTAAATGGTATTCTGTAAATTTTAGTGTAATAAAAATAAATTTAAAAAAAGAGAAGTTATAAACCCAAATTTCTAGATTTTGAATACAAGAACCCCATACATTTTCAAAATGAAACAAAATAAAAGATGTATGGAGAAAGGGAGAAATTAAAAAATAATTAAACCCAGAAGATGGATAATTTAGGAACAAAAAACGCAACATCATGATTGTAACAAGTATGTTTAGGGATCAAAATACACTTAAACCATACTGAAATATGTTGAGCTTAACGTATACTTTTTGGAAATACTTCTGCAAATTTCTACAGTTGCCAACATATTGACAGGCCATATATTATACACTATTCATGTCTGCTCAATATCTCAAAACGTGAAAACATCATCATGATTGTACTCACATTCATATCTAAACAAGGGAAAATAATATCAAAACACAAATTATATTGAAAGGAGAAACATTTGGATCCGTTGCTGGAATCCATGAAAACGCTACATACAATCCCAACAGAACTACTTTCTCGTAAATAGCTATATGTTAATTGAAGTTTATCCTTTCTATGAACATTGCACTTGCATTTCATAAGCAAGACAACAAAACTATCCCAACTCCTCATCAAGAAACAAAAGGAAATGGAAAACTAATTAAAAAGCTAATAAATAATTATTTATAAAATAAATAAACAAATGAAGAGAGAGAAAAAAACATGCATAACATACCTCGGCTGAGACAGTATGCGTATGCGGCCTGTGTTCAAAGGATGCACAAGCAGAAACGACAAAACCTAAAATATCCCCCAATCACTATTAGCACCTAAAACATCTTCATAATATTATTTTTGGAACGTTTTATTTTTGAAAAAAAAGAAAGACGAATGCACCATAATATTATCAGTATTATATATTTTTTAATAGCATTATAGAAAAATTTGTTTCTTTTTTTTTAGGCTAGTACTCATTTTAGTTTAGGCTAAAAATATTATTTCTCAAGACAAATTTTTTAGTATAAAAAGAAGAAAGCAGACAACAAATTTCTTCCTTAAACTATTTGGCTTTTATCAATGGAAAATAAAAACAAGCAAAGAACAGAAAAAACTACAAGTAGAGGAACCGGGATCACCTACCAGCTAAACAATAGCTTGATAGAGGACAGAAAAAACTACATAGGGAGGAGCCAGGTTTCCTGAGTATCAGCTAAACAATACAGAGCATAGACCTCAACACCAGGGTTCAAACCCGGGCTCTCGTGAGTTAGAGCATTAGACCTCAACACCAGAGTTCAAACCCGGGCTCTCGTGAGTTAGAGCATAGACCTCAACACCAGGGTTCAAACCCGGGCTCTCGTGAGTTTCTAATGGTTACGACAAATTCGTCTACATATCAACAAAAAACAAAGTGACAAAAACTTAGAGAACATTAAACACAAAGGAGTTAATTCATTTATATAAGCATACAGAACATAGCTCACTCAACTTTTGATTTGACATCAGCAAATTTTCATAAAACAGTTTAGTAGCACAGCCTAGAGAAAGCAATAAACCTAATCATAATAGAAAAGCAAAGCATTATATCATCATAAGCATAAGATGGCAAATATTAACGCCAAATGACAGAACCAATCAAAAGATTGTCATCTAAAATTATTAATTCTTGTTAGAAACATAATAAGCAGTATAGCAATTCTAGTCAGTCATAAAACACCAATGAAAATGACATAAGGACAAAAGGAGTGCCATAGTTGAACTTTATACAAGATTATAACCGCAATAAAAGCATATTGTGCTCCTAAGCATCACTAGCAAAATGTTCAATGATAATACCTGCAATAAACCTCAAAAAGAAAGTTCTTTAATGGGCAAAAACAGTGTCATTTCGCCTAGGTGGTCTGTCAGGAATAGATCCTGGCTTGAATTTGGAAGCTTCATGCCTTGCCAATTCAGGTGGAACAGCACTATTACTCTGAATGAGCATCTGCTTAAGGTCATAAAAGACATCAGTGTCCTGGAGAGTCAAGAATGTTGTAGCCACACCAGTCTTTCCCGCACGGCCAGTACGTCCTATACGATGGGTGTACATTTCAATATTCCCAGGCATATCATAGTTGATAACATGAGCCACATCAGGTATGTCAATACCACGTCCAGCAACATCGGTTGCAACCAGCACATTATATCTCTTGGTCCTAAATCCTTCAAGACTAATCTCCCTCTGTTCCTGTGATTTCCCTCCGTGCAAAGTGGTCACCCGATAGCCTTCCTTATCCAAATTCTTAGCAAGAAAATCAGCACTCTTCTTGGTGTTGACAAACACAATTGCGGTTTTGTCATTAAGCTCATCCAACAATCTCTGAAGCTTATAAAATTTCTCAGATTCCTTCATCATGATCACATGCTGGCTGATCAAGTCAGTTGCTTTTCCAGCAGTGCCTATAGTCACCACAACAGGGTTCCTCAAATACTTCCTAGCAAGCCTCTCCACAGCAGGAGGCATAGTGGCACTAAACATATAAGTGGTCCTATAAATCCTCTTCTCATCAAGCTCTTCATCTTCATTCTCAGGTTTCAAATTACTAGATGGCATAGCATCAAGCACACCCATGACTTGTGGCTCAAACCCCATATCAATCATGCGATCAGCCTCATCAAGAACAACATAATTACACTGGTTGAGAACCGCATAGCGACGCTCCAAGCAATCAATCAAACGACCAGGGGTAGCAATCACAATTTCACAACCCTGCCTTATCTTAAACCCTTGCTCCTCAATAGACTGACCACCAACAATGGAAACAACTTTAATTCCCATATACTGCGCAAATTTAACAGTCTCGTCCTCAATCTGCTGAGCAAGCTCGCGAGTTGGCGCCATAACAACAGCATAAGGACCCTCAGCCTCATTCTCCTCACTAATAGGAGGAAGCCTTGTGATATAACTCAACATAGGAAGAACAAATGCAGCAGTCTTCCCTGAACCTGTCTCAGCCACACCAATAACATCACGCTGCTGAAGACCCAGGGGAATAGCAGCCATCTGAATTGGAGAAGGGGTTTTGTAACCAGCTTTCTCCACAGCCTTCAAAAGCTCTTGACTCAACTTGCTCTCAACCCAACTCCTCATAGGACGAGGAATCTTTGAACCTTTGTAAGAGATATTATAATCCTCCCTAAAAATACGCCAATCTCTCTCCGTCATCTCTTCAAGTTTCTTCTCACTCCAATGACGATCAACCCTCATATCAAACGTGTCATACATATCAGCAGCCTCCTCTTTACGCCTCTGTGCATCAGCCTCCTCGGGCTTCTCCTCAATTCCATCCTTCTTCCTGATCTGATCCCTCATCTCCTTCTCATTCTTGGCAGCAAGCTTCTTCTGCTCGCGACGGTCCATCCCAGCACGAAACCCTCGACCAAACAAAAGCTGAGCCTCATGAGGGTTTTGGTAAAGATAATTCATATCACGCGAAGTATCTTCAGTATTTTCCCAATCAAACGAAAATCGAAATTTCTCACTAGGTTTAATAACCCTCTTTTTAGGTTTTTTCGAACCTAGGTATTGTTCCTTAATCGATTCAAGCTCTTTCTCTTTCTCTCGTTCCGCTAGCTTCTCTAATCGAGCACGCTCACGAGCCTTACTCTCTTCTTCACGTTCCTTATCGCGGTTTCGCCGTTCCCGATCTCTGTTATCTCTATCCCTATCCCTTTCCCTATCACGTTCTCTATCTCTATCTCTATCTCTATCCCTATCCCTATCCCTTTCTCTGTCTCTGTAACTATCCCTATCTCTATCTCTGTCTCTGTCTCTGCGATCTGAATCGCGATCTCGTCGATCGGAATCGGAGGGTTTTGGATCGGAGGGACGGTTGTTACTCGAAAGGAGGAGCTCTTCTTGATTGCGCCGATGACCGGTGACTTGAATGTGACGGCGTTCAATAGCTTGCTGTTCACGCTGGGCTTTGGTGAGGAAAACTGGTTTGGGAATCGGCGCCGCGGAATCGTCGGTGGAACGTTTCATGGCTTTTGGATTGAATTTGCAGTTAGCGCGATATCGCTTGGTTAATTGCAGGAGGGGAGATAGAGAGAGATTCACACAAAACAAAAGGACTGATGACACTTGATCAATACTAGACAATTCCTTTTATAATGCTCACTTTGTAAACCCTGGCTGGATTCAGTGGCTTGGGCCACTTTGCTTAAGGCCCTATTTATTAATATTAACAAATCCTATTTAAAAAATTCAAATCAAATTTATTTCTTTTAAAATCATATAGTATTCAAATCTAGTTGGACTTGGAATCCAAGTTGAATGTGATCTAATTAACTTTAAAAATTTGTTAGTGGATTAAAAACAAAATAAAATCAAAAAAATAAATATAATTATTTAAAATCGTTTGAACCAAAGAATCAAAATCGATTTTATAAAAATAAAATTGTCTGATTACAAAAATATCATCAATTTAGTCTCTCTTTTTTAGTTTAATATGTCAACATCAAAATTTAAAATATTCATCAATCACAAAAAAAAAAACTCCTTATTTTTCTGTAACTCCACTAATTTTTAAGTTTTATCATTTCGTTATACTGGTTTTTTTTCATTCAATCAAAGTTCACCATCACCACATCGTCCCTTTCAAACATAATCACTCCGTCCAACTCAATATTTATTATCGTTCAAATCAATATTATTTTTAGTTGTTCGATTATGACTTATTTTTTGTCGTTCAACTCGCATTCGCTTAATCTTTATCAATTAAGTTAATTGTTTAAATAGCTTAGATACCCATATCATCTTGGGTCCTTATTCATTAGTTTCATAACCAGTTTCATGTCTTGTTTTAGATACATATGAATTTTCAAAGTTAAATGTTATTTTGACTTTGGATTCAAATGTTTCTTATATAAGTATGAAGATGGTGTCATTCTTTGCTTTCATGAATTTTTCTTATAAAAGAAAACATGGCTACATGACCTTCTTTATTGCAGTATTTTCATTTTAATGCTTTACAGTGATACGTGTTTTTTGTTTACATATGTTCTCAAAGTTCTTGATATTGTTCTTTGGTTCATAACCTAATTCAACTTTATTATGTGAGGAGGCTCTTTGATTTCTTAATAAGACTTTTAGGTTGACTCTCCCTTTGGTAAATTTCACCAATGTTTTTTGAAGAACACAAACTTCATTTTTTCAAGTTGTTGCATCTATCACATATGTCAGGTTCATTATTTGAAGTGGAAGGTTTTGATTGAGGTTTTCTTCCTTCTCTCTAAGGCGTTCTATTTCCTTTTCAAGAGTTTTGTTCTTGGTTTTAAGATAGGAGTAGGGGTGTTCAAATCCAAATCAATCCAAATAAAAAACTGAAAACCGATCCAAAAAACCGAAAACCATAAAAAACCAAAAGTTATTGGTTGTGTTTGGATGTTATTTTATGAAAACCAATCGGTTCGGATTGGATTTCGGAAGAATTTTTCAAAACCGATCCAAACCAAACCGAACCGCATAAATATATTTTGATACTTATTTACTTTTTATTAGTATGACATGTTATGTGAATTTATTATTAGATGATAATAATTTTTTTAATAATATTTATTAGTTTGGTATAATCTATTTATTTTTATTATTTCAAGCATAATCAATCACTCTCATTTTGTAATATTAACTTTTAATATACTATATGTTATATATTATATCAAATCTATAATTTATTAGTAGTTTTATAATATTAATAAAAATATAATGTGTAATTTGGATATCCAAAAACCGATCCAAATTAACTGCATAAAATTGGATCGGATCAGATTGGATTTTTTTAAATATATCATCTAAAACCGAACCGAACCTTAAGTGAATTAATCTTTGGATCGGATGAGTTTTTGCTTTAAAACCGATCCAAACCGAACCGCGAACACCCCTAGATAGGAGTTCTGGTGCTGAGTTCTGGAAACAATGATTGAGTCTCTTAGGTAGTTAAAGATGGATTGGGGTAAGTTGACTCTAATATGATGAACAAGGAAGTAGATGAAAACTCTATCCTCATAGGTTAGGGTGTTCAACATAGATACTCTATGTCTAAAATATGTCAACACGAGCTGAAATCAGACTGAAGCAATTGGATGAAGATTCGTAATATTGGTGTGACCATATTCATCAGATACATTATGAATAATGTGGAGTCTCTCAGCAAAAGAGTATCTGTTTTAGAAAGCTTCTATGGTAACTTCTGTTTGAGCGTATCCAATAGCAACAACGATTAAAGTTGGGGTGATGATAATGGAGTTTCCAATGACAGATATGTAAGAACAAGATTTGGTTCTACAATATTATCTCTGAGTTTTGATGATAACAAATGAATATGATTGTATGAATAATTGTGTTGTACTAATGTTTGTTATTGTTGAGTACTTAACAAACAGGTTCTGCTTTTGATGAGTGGCATGGCCAAGACATTAGAAGAGAATTGATTCTGCTTCTATGCTACACAAGTTCTGTTGAACATTAGCAAGACACTCCAGAAGGCTCTGAAGTGTAAACTTTGATATTTGTCTGAAGAAACTAGTCAAAAGATCCGAAGACATAAGTTGTTACTAATGTCCAGATGCTGAAGACTCAACCTTTTAAAGACAACATGTTCCAAAGAAACAAAGTCAGAAGATCTGAAGACAAAGTTTCTACTGAAGTCCAGATGATGAAAGCTTGTGTTTCTATTAATGAAGTTCTAAATATAAGGGTTCTGAAGACCAAATGTTGAAGACTCTAAAAGACAGAAGGTCTAAAGACTCTAAAGACTCTAAAGACTTAAAGTTCTAAAGACCCAAGGTTCCAAGAAAAGGATCTCATGATCAAGTGCTGAAGACTCTGAAGATGCAGTTCTGAAGACTCTGAAGACTTGAAGTTATGAAGACTTGATGTTATGTTCTTGCTTTTAAACCCATGCTCGCAGAAGCCTCTGAAGTGCAAAAGGAAAGAAGATAACATTAATATGGTACAAATAGTACATGGTACATCAACGTTTCATTCCACTACCATGAAATGACGGACGCGTCGCACGATCTTGTCCCCCACGTTACTGTTTAAGCTGCCAATGTTTCTAGAAATTCCAAGAGTATCCCTCAACGAATACATTATGCTAATGGCTATATATAAAGGCTTGAAGACTAAGAAATAAAGTAGCCAACTAACAAAATATTCACGTGAAAACGATGTTCATTGCTTTCACATTCTTAAGTCACTGTTAATAAAATAGTTTACATACTCAGCTTTTTAGAAGCAACATTCCTGTAAACAAAACTTGTATTCAAATTGTTGTTTGATATTCCTTAAGGGACCGGGTAGGTCTGAATCCTTAAGAAGTCTAGAGCTTCTGAGTTTCAGAAGTTGTTAGTCACTTGCAGGTAGCTTGTGCATTGTAATAATCAGGTTGATTATTAGTTGACATTCCTTAAGGGACCGGGTAGGCCTGAATCCTTAAGAAGTCTAGGGCTTGCGAGTCTAGAGGTTGTTAGTCACTTTACGGGTAGCTTGTACAAATTGTAATCAGTTTGGTTATAATGAATTAAGTCCTCTAATGAGTGAGGCAAAATCACCTCGGCGAATGGATTAGACTAGCTTGATAATTTTCAAGTGAACTTGTATAAACATACATTGTTCTTTACTTCTTGTTCTTACTTATTGTTATTATCAAGAGTGAAGGAAAAAGAATTTTAACTTAAAAGGGGAATGTTTTTAAAAGAAATATTTTATTTTAAAAACCAAATTCAAATCTCCTTTATTCTTGTGTTTTTCACACCTTCAATTGGTATCAGAGTTCTGGTTCTGAGAAGATAAAAAGTTTGATTTTTTTATCAACACTTAAGTGTCCAGTACCAATCCAGTGTGCGTGAAAAACCAATAGCTACATCTACTTCCACTATTGATAATATGGATACTGATAGAGATCACTATAGTTCAAAACCTCATATGTTTGATGGGGAGAAATTTTACTATTTGAAGGATAGAATAGAAAGTTAATTTCTAGCATATGATTTGGATCTATGGGACTTGGTAGTTGATAGATACACTCACCTAGTAGATGATAAAGGTCATAAGATTGCAAGAAGTGAAATGATTGAAGCACAGAAGAAAGTGTGCAGAAATCACTACAAAGCAAGAATCGTTCTTCTAAGTGCTATCTCATATAATAAATATGAGAAAATCACAGATAGAGAGATTGCAAAGTCTATTTTTGACTCTCTTCAGATGACACATGAAGGCAACACATAGGTAAAAGAAACAAAGGCTTTGGCCTTAATTCAAAAGTATGAAGCCTTCAAGATGGAAGACGACGAATTTGTGGAAATAATATTTTCAAGATTTCAGACTCTTGTGGCAAGACTTAAGGTTCTGAACAAAGGTTACTCCACCGTAGATCACATTGAAAAGATTATCAGAAGTCTTCATGTTAAATGGAGACCAATGGTAACTGCCTTAAAATTGGCAATGGATCTGTACAACACCTCTCTTGAGGAGCTGATTATCTCTTTAAGAAGTCATGAAATAGAGCTGGAACAAGATGAACCTTAGAAGAAGGTAAAATCAATTGCTCTAAAGTCTACTTCTGGAAAAAACAAGGCTTACCAAGCTAAGGAAGAATCTGAAGAACCTGAAGAAGATTCACATGATAATGAACTCTCCTTAATATCCAAAAGAATAAGTCAAATCTGGAAGTACAAACAAAGTAGTTCATAGGTCAAAGAAGGACATATGGAAAAAGGTGAATCCACTTCTGGTCAGAGAAATGCTTCTGGAAAATAAGTCACTTGTTTTGAATGCAACGAGCCTGGACATTACAAAAATAATTGTCCAAAGCTTAAGAAAGACAAAAAGCCTAAAAAGGCTTACAAAGCCAATAAGGGTGGACGTTTCACATGAGAGCTTCGAGGCTTAAATTATGTGATGTCATTGTTAGGGCATCACGATCTAAAGCTTGTGAAACTCTTGATTTGGGGACCTTCAGACCAAACTAACCCCATATTTGG